GGGGCGGGTTTGCGATGACTGCAATGAGGGGCGGGCTTCCGATCACCGCAAACGTTCGGCAGTTGTCGAACAAACAGGCCACTAACCCACCGAGAATCGTATGATTCTCGGAGGGTTTTCAAGCCTGCTTGTTCGACGGAAGACGTGCGACCGTACAGTAGAAACGGTTGCATGCCTTCCATACACTTTGCGATTATCGTACGATCGCGGGATTTCCCGCGATTCTCGTACGATAATCATACAGTGTATGGACACCTTTAGTTTAGTAAATGTGGTGAAATGTAACTTTACAAAGAAAACACTATCACATGCAAGAAAGAAAAAAAACAACAGTATTTTTACTTGCACATTATTGGGTGATGGAAGTCAGCAGAGCTTCACCTCATTCACCAAACGAAGGAAAAACTTCCACTGCAAAGTACAAATTCTCTTGCAAAGTGAACAGCCTATTTACCTTTGGTAAATCACCCTCATAATGTCCATTTTGTGCAGAGAAAAAAAGTTGCTGGCATCATCAGATTTGAGTAGGTTTGCCAGGAGTATGTAATTGTGTTTTATGATTTTCTTTAAATGAATCCATGACTGTATTAAATGGTCTTTTTGGATCGGCTTTAAAATGGATTTCAAGTGCTGCTGAAGGTGCACAATCCAGGGAGCTCATTGTTATCTTTCATTCATTGCTTGCCAAGTCACTTACCTGGAACAGGCAGGTGCATATGAGGTGTCATAATGCTTGATATGCACAAGTTTATTCCAGGTCAGTGTCTCACCAAGTAGTTAAGAAATGATGAGAATGACAGCCCTAGAGCATGCAACTTCTAAATCAAATCTTTAATGGCAGATACTATATTTCTATCCAGACAGATTCTCTTCAAGGCCCTTTCACTGTATCTGTACTGACACCTGCTGACATTATAAACTAACACCATAGCAGTGTAGTGTTTAGGGATGAGCAAATCAGTGTGCGCTAAATAGATCTTCTGATGGATCCATCATCCAACTATACTTACATCGTTTTATTAAATGGGTACTTAAGGCTAGGTTCACACCTAGGCGACACCTCATCGGATTGTCGCGCAGTCAGGACTCGCCAAGGTGTGAACCGATCGCGTTGTGGGTGCCATTATTTTCTAATGGCACCCCAGTCACGATGGACGGATTGTGCGGTTTCCCGTCACGGTTCTGCCCGTGCTTCCGAACTAAAACAGCCGTGCGTCATGTATCGCAAAAAAAACCTGCATGTACGTTTTTTTTGCGATTGCCGCGCGGATGTCACCCCACAGCAATCGCTGCCTGTATTGTGCAGGACCGCACGATCCCGGGACGCACGTCCTGGGTTTCGTGCAGTGCAGGTGTGAACCTAGACTGAAAGCACTCACTGCAAGGGTAATGTGTCTTAGGCAGGTGGCAAACCACAATAACATACACCCACTCACTGAAGCTGTCCTTTGACAAACTACTTTGCCATTAATGTCATAGGAACTGTCATTCAAATACCTAACTTCATGTACAAAAAGCTGCTCAATTTGGGTAAAAAAAAAGGTTTATTTGGACAAAACCCATTGGTATTGGTTGGTATTGTAGTCCTGAGCACTGACTATCTCTAGACTGCCTATACACTATTAGAATTTTTATTCACAGGAATCGGACACACTTTTTTAATTGGGTGGCCCTTCTAGCTCAACAAACATTGATCACTCAATCAACTTCTGTTAAAGGAGGCAGGCCAAACATTTTCAGACAAACAGTGATTGCAGTCTGTTAGCTGAAGTCACTGTTTATGTATTCTGACTGCAGGGGCAACTGGCTATCAGAATACAATAGTCACACCTTTGAAAACAATGCACTCCCTGTGTGGCTGATTTCACACAATTAGCACAAAAGTTAAATGAGACTGATTCAAATACAGAGCTCCTTCTAATGGGCCATCTACAATTCTCTGCATTTAGTACACTAATTAGTAAAAGCTTTTAAAAATATGGATGTTCCAAATAAAATTACTTTGAGTGAAACATTGAAATATCTCAGAAATGCACAATTTACCCTTCCTTTGAGTGAACTGAGAAATCAATTTTTAAATGTAAAAAAAAAAAAAAATTACATATAAAAAAACACAGTCATGAAAGCATTGTATGGGTTATTCTTTAGGAACTAAGCCTTTTGTTTTTTTTATGTTTATTTGTATTTTGAGTTTATTATTTAAAGATGAATGTTACCCATATCTTTAAAATAACAACAAACACACCTTTAGAAATGTTTAGTAATGACAATCTACAAACATTATACTTCTAGATAATTGCCGGCTTTGTATTCTTTGAATACCTTATTTCTCTTTTCTTCCCCCAGTCTTCTGACAGTGGCCATGTATACTAAGGGCAGATTACTAGATCTCCCTTTACTTCCTGGATTTCTGGCACATGTGACTTGACATGTGACTAGGATATGTGACCATGCACATCACCTCATGGGAGGAAATGCCTTTCCCTGAGATCTCATGAGATTACAGTTGAGATTTCCCAGCAAAGCTCTGCTGATGACAAGGCAATCCCAGTGTGCATTACTTTGGCAAACTGAAGTAATTTGCACTTTCAAAGCAGAAAGTGAATGCTCTGCAAGTGTAAGTATTTCACAATCACAGCATAGGGGGATGCATTGGTAGAATTTGATTTTTGAGTGTAAGGGCCCACTTTAACCTGGTCAGTGAAGATGTTGTGGTTTGTATTAGAGCTGCAACAGTTAATCGATTTCTTAATCGAACTTAATAATCGGCCAACTAATCGATTATGAAAATAATCGTTAGCTGCAGCCCTAGTTTGTATGCCTTTGTTAAGGGGTCTGCCCAAATCAGTTTGTTGTGGATGTATACTCGTAGCCTAATTTACCTCTAGAGTCCTGTAGTGATACGTTTCCCAGCCTTCTTTGCTCTAACCCTCTTTAAGGCGACTAAGACTTCAAACAAAGTGTATGTTTATATGCACTGTTTCTTTAAAGCTGAAGTTGAATATGCTAATATTTTCCTTCCCTGGTTTCTCTCTTCCTTCCCAACATGCTAACCTTATCATCTTCTTCATATACTTTATCTTGGACCCTCTGATGTCATCACTGGGTCTCTGTTCTTTTCCATGCATTGCAGGCAAATCATGGCTGGTGGGAGGGGCAGAGAAGGTGCTGTACATAGCTTCCTGACAATGGTACAGCGCCCTGCCCCAGTACTCCTGATACAAGCAGTGGGCTGGCTCTTGGGAGGAGTTGTGCAAATAATAAAAATGCTCTTATGGTAGTTGTTAATCCGTAGGAGTGGGTGTTCCTAGGTAGACCGCATTTGCATGCAGACTTCCTTAGGTAATGTCCACATGTAATGCTGAACCTCCATGATTGAAAGAACTGATATCCAATGAATAAAAGGGGTAGGCCAGAGACAGTAAGGCTGGGAAGGAATGGGCTAAATAATGCTAGATGTCCTCCAGCCAGGAAATGAGGCAGGCTCTATCTGACTTGCTGCAGGTTCTAATGCACACTGTGAGAAGCTTACAGAGAGGAATTGATCAAAACCGGAGCAGACAAAATCTGGAGCAGCCATGTACGGAAACCAATCAGCATCCACCTTTC